GATGGCAGCATAAATGTGTACCATCAGTGTAAACATGACTTTGGGATCTCCATTGTTGAAGTTATTCTCACATATTGAGCTCTTAATCATCTGCGTCATCCACAATACTATATATATTTTTTTTACCCTAAAATAATTTTTTAAATAGTGTGCGTACAGTATAAATTACATCTGGGAACCTATGTCTAATATGGGCAGAAGTCCGAATGACACAGGAAAATATTAGTTACATGTCAAATTATACCAAACCAAACCCATTGTCATCTGATTAATCCCTATTCACAGCAGCCCCATTGGTCGGAGTTGAACTGTCTGAGAGGGTTTCCAATGGTGTCCACCATCTTTGTGAGAGCACACTTCCACGCCTTTCCACCAGGGGGCAGCTGGTGGCTCCCACCCACAACCTTTCCGTTAGCAGCCGCGTGCTAACCCACGGAACCACCAAGTCTCCTGATCAAATGGTAGGCGACTGTTTTCATTTAAATATACACTTCAGGTGCAACGGGCCCATGTTGAGTACCTTCCAATGTGAATCGCCTACAGCACTGATTTCGTTTATTAAATTAAATTGATTCAAGACCTATCAGAAAAAGATGAGAAAGAAGAGGAAGCGAGAGGAAAAAAATAACAGACATCATAGCATTTATTCAGACACATCACACTGGTCAAAACAAAGCCTCCCCTTCGTTCCTTCACCCCAACAAATTGGCAATCGCTCATAAACAAAGCATTGGCCATTTACTTTTTTTTAATGTAAAAAGTTAATGCCTTGTACACTGATACTTTAGCAAGACGCTTCCTCTTCAACACAGCTCAGACAAATGTAAAAACACACAACCTTCTCTCCCTGGACATACTCAGCTTCTAGTATCCCATAATAAAACTAAAGAAGGGTTTATTTGGAGAAGTTAGGCAAAATAGCAACTAACTCTGACTTACAAGAACAATGAAGGCAATTCGGCAACCAAGCAGCCTCTCTGGAAAGATGTCCCAGAAAGCCGGTTGTCCAAAATGCCCAGAGGAAGTGCCCAGCCAGTGAGAGAGAACGGCAACATCCACCACTCCTGAGGGCTGGAGTTTGGACCAAATCCGTCTTTCTAGCCCCATCATTTCTGAAAGACGACATTTTCCGTTTCTGTGGCAGAAAACAGTGCTTGTTTGGGTTGTATGTGTAAGTGTTCAGACCATGCTTCTGTTCAGTGAGAGGGTTGTTTCTACCCCAGTAGATAAGGGAAACAGAGCCACGCCACAGCACTGCTATCAGGAGCAGAGGAAAGTGTGCCTGGCCCCAGAATTCCAGTGCTCATGATGTCAAGAACCCTCTGGTGTTTTTCTAACGACAGATTTCATGATCGCCCTAGCACAGATTAATCTCATTGTGATACTTGAATTAAACTCGGCATTTTTTTTCTGGTCACCAAATAAAATGAGGAGCCTTAGGAATTCAATCCAAATATGCTTTAGATTTAAAAAATACATGGAGAATAGGAGATATTCCACCATTTAGTACAAAATATTCAGTTAAAAACTGAACCTCGGCTAAAGTCCTGTGTTTACTCATTCCAAACATACTTTATTGGGATCTCCAATGTGCCAGACATCTGAAATACTCAGTATCAAATAAAATAAGAGCCAAACAGCATCAACCCCAAACCAAACTCATTACCATAGGGTAGATGGTGACTCGTAGTAACCCTATAGGACCAGGTAGAACTCCCCTCTGGGGGTTTCTGGGATTGTAACACTTTGTGGGAATAGAAAGCCTCATCTTTCACCCAGGAAGTAGTAGGTGGTTTTGAACTGCTGATCTTGTGGTCATCAGCCAATGTCTAATCATTACACAGCCAGGGTTCATACAAACATACAGCATACTTTATTCTAATTCTGCTATAATCCAGCACATACCTCGCAGAGAACAGTAGTTTGAGGGGATTGGGGGACAATCTAACTGCACACTTCTTAGAACCCACACATTCCAGTTTAATAAATAAGTATGTTAGGGCTGTCCACTCAGAAGGAAGCATCATGAGTGTCATTTATTCATTCGGCCAACATTTACTGATCCAACATGGCGGTGGGTGTTAGAGCCCAAGTACATTATCACGATCTGTACTTTCAAGGAATGTGTAGTCTAGTCTCTGCTTGGACAGAGAATCACTAAATAAGTGGGCCAGATGGAATATTTAAGGTCAGGCAGTGGTCTACCATCCAGATGTGACCCGAGAAGAAACCAAAGCAGGAGAGGATAAAGTCTGTCTTGTCACTGAAAGACTAACATGGGGACTGTGTTCCCATCTAATTCCCATCCAGCACCTTACACTCTATCTGCCTTGATCTTATCAGTGAGATATGTTCCTTTCGCAGAGGTTTTGCTGGTGTTAGTCACCATTGAGCTAGCTCCGACTCCCAGCCACCTTATGCATAATCCCTGCACCAGTTGGATTGGCAAGCTGGCTTGTAACAACGGGCTCAAACCTACCAACTTCTAGTAGGTACCATCCTGAAGTGCTGCTCTTAATCTTTAATGGGCTGGAAAGTAAGTTGGACAAGCTCACTTAAATTGTGTCTAAAATAAAGGTAAATGGATTGTGAATGAGAATCTGGCACTTCCATATGAGGAATCCAAGTTACAGTGCAAAGACTAACTTCAAAACTCCTGTTTTGGCTAACCACTTCCACTCCCCAACACCTTGTTGTTTATTCTTGTTTCTCAACTGTCTTCCAAGGAACTGAGGTTGCCAGAGAAATATGCATTTCTCTACTTGCTCTTTCATGACTGGTGGTCCGTGAACACTGTGATTTAATGAAAAAGTTTATTTCTGAATGTGAATGTGTAGGAATTGCTATTCTAAATAAATCTTGAGTCCAATTGTGTGTGTGTGCATGTGTGTGTGTTTATGTATGACTGTCTCAAAGCTAATGAACAGCATATTTGATACACAAAATTCCACTTATCACAAAAAGGTTCATAAGTCACCTAATGTATATTTGACATAAAACTACAATAATTTGGGCTTGTCACCCCTTATCTGGAACAGCCTTTGCTGCCCTAAATTTAACATTGATTAACCTAAACACTTGACCTTTATTAAGGAAATTTTATAGGCAGTTTGAGGATCTAAAGTAAAGTGTATTTGATACCCCAAGTAAAACCTCATGAATTAGTATGTTATTAATGCATAACAATCAATAAGCATTTTCTCATTGTAATTACTCAGAAAGGAGCATAAATGGTACGAATAGTTAAGTGTTCAATCACTAACCCAGTGGTTCACTGTTCGAACCCACCCAGAGAGACCTTCGGGGAAACACCTGACAATTGCTCTTGAAGCATAGAAACTCTTTGGAGTACTGCTTTGCTCTACTCTGCAGCACACAGGGTCACCATGAGTCAAAATCAGCTCAAGGCAACTGGTGGTTACTAGCAGCTTACTGCTTCTTCAACTACCATATATACTCGAGTAGTAGCCAACCCAAATATCAGCCGAGGCACCTAATTTTACCACACAAAATAAACTGGTAAAACTGACTCGAGTGTAAGTCTAGGGTGGTAAATGCAGCAGCTGCTGGTAAATTTCAAAATTAAAATAGATACCAATAAAATTTCATTATTTGAGGCATCAGTAGGTTAAATGTTTTTGAAGATTTATTTCAAAGAAAAGCAGTAAACTAGCTCTGTAAGTGGAAAAGAGGGTCAACAAAAACATTATGGTATCAGCAATAACTATACATGCTGTTACTGCATGTGCTGTATTACTACATACACTGCCTTACCGCATGTACACAATGCAGCTTGTATAGTTTGAGGCCTAAAACAGGCTGATGATATTCCAGAATGTGATGACATGACTGTTTGCATAGAGCAGCCAGTGGTAGGGTTTATAATATACACGCTGCGTTGTGTACGCACTCTGTTACTGCATGCGCTGCATTACTGCATACACAGTGTTACTGCATATGTATGGGAAGTGCAACACATGCAGTAACACAGTGCTTACACAACACAGCGTGTATACTATGAGCCCTAACACAGGCTGCACTAGGCAAGCATAGTCAACACTGGGTGCAGATAGGGGTTAATAAGAAAATAAAAAATAGCAGACTAAGTACTGTAAATAAACGTACTGTATATCCAAGACCAGAGATATACCAGTACTTGTATTTGGCAATGCTTGCTTGGGTGGAGCAAGGGGGAGCGACCAAGCACAGGTAAGACTGTAAGGGCTACGTCATTGGTCACAGGAGAAGAGTGGGAGAAGATGAGCAGCCGTAACAGACATCCATCTGACAAGGATGCAGCGCGCCCCAGGTACCAGCACACAGAAGCGGGCAGGTTCTTGCCCAGTACGACACGGACAACTCAGAGGCTGCCGGCGAGCAGGAGAAAGAAGAGCAGTGATAGCAGCAGTCATCCGACCACCCTCCGAGGCTGCAGGCGCGGCAGATGAGCGGGAGACCGGAGAACACCCGCACTGCACGGGAGAACAGGTAAGTGGGGACTCTGACTCGAGTGTAAGGCGAGGGGGGGCTTTTTCGTCATAAAAAGTGTGCTGAAAAACTCAGCTTATACACGAGTATATACGGTATGTTGTAGTTTAAGAATACTGGTCATTTTATTAAAGATTTGTATTCAATATATCCAAGGACAAGCCGTTATGTATTCATGAGCATCTTAAAAGCCTTTATTAACATAAAATAATTAACATTCTGATTGAAAGGCTTTCGCATCTACTAATTTAAAATGTAGCAAAGGAAACACATCAGGTGGTAATCACTCAGCCTCGTGTGAGTTTCCATGTTATCAAAAGTAGCAAATAAAAAAATTTTTTTTAAAGTAGCAAATCAACTTACCTTTCTAGAACATTTTATAATTAAAACATTTTAGTAATATCCACTGGTCCTTAATTACTCTAAATCATCATTGTTACTAAATTTGCAAATGTAAATATTATCAGCACATGTGCTATTTTAATAAGATATATTCTTTAAATATTACTCACAGCAACAAATTGGTTATTTTCTAATTTAATGATGTCTCCCACTTTCACATTCATCCATTTTTCACCCTGCAACCTAAGAACAAAAACAAAATTAATGTTCTCATGTGAAGAAATAACCAATAATTCCATATCAGCAGAGGAAGCAGGTAACAGTTTCCAAGAATGTTAAAATCAAAGGATTTTAAATAACAAAATCCTCTACCTGAGTGATGTGGGAACTAAGACTCAGAGAGGTGAAGGGATTTGCCCTAGGCCACCCAGCGAACCAAGATAAAACTCACTGCCATCGAATCAATTTCAATTCACAGCAACCCTACAGCACAGAGTAGAATTGCCCCCTTTCAGTTACCGAGGTGTTAAAACGCTTTACAAAACTAGGCAGACTCATCTTTTCTCCCTCAGAGCAACTGGTAGATTTGAACCACTGACTTTGTGTTTTGGAGCTCATCATGTAGGCCCCTAAACAACCAGGGCTCCTTGGATACTCAGTGAGTGAGTGAGTAATAATCTCAAGATGTAGAACTCTTGTCTGAGTGCTGATCTCCTCATTCTGTAGAGCCGACTTTCTATACCAGCCTTTAACTCCTGTTTGCCTTTTCTGGCATTTTTAAAAGGGTGTAAGAGACAATATATTCCGTCATTGACATTCTGTTCAAACTCGGTATCAGTAAATAGAGAAAGATTAACTTCCCCCAGGCAGCTGCTACATTGGAAGCATCACATAAAGGAAATAGCAAGGAGAATGTTCTGGTCCAGGGCAATCACTAAAAAAGCAAAGGAGCAAACAAACAAACACAAATTTTGGAAAGAAGAAAAACAACAACAGGTGATAAAATTTTTGACATGCAAAGGACCATCCATAGCATGGGGCTAAATGACCAGCTTTGTGACATCCTACTTGTCTAGGACCCAGAATGTCAGCCATAACTTAATGGCACCTGACAGCAACAAGAACGGCAACGTGAAGATGCTACCCTGTTGGCTAGGGGTGGGGTCGTGAGACTGTTCAAGTTCATGCATATAATGAAGACCCAGTCCTGAACACTAAGTCCTCCCTTGATCAAGTTCAAAGTGATTTATGATGAAGCACTATTGTGTTCGGTTGTTCAGGCCCCTGGTGACAAGTTAATCAGGGCTACTCAAAGGCAAGCAAATCACCTGGGGCCATGCATCGTGATGCTAATTGTCCCTTCTGCGATCTTAGGAAACAGAAACCAGCTGTGCTTTCCTGGCCGGAAGCCATCCTCTTGGCACTTCCTTTTCAGTCAGGAGACATATGAGGAGTTCAGGTTGGGATGAGGAAGGCAGGTTTCACCAACAAGCCGAGGGGAGCAGGCTAATTTCAATGGGCAGATTTTTATTTCATTTTTAAAGAACCTAATTTACCTATGGCATCGACTAGGGGGAGGGGAGAAACAACAGTTTTGAATAATTATAATCCCGAAAATCAAACCCACAGCTGGCAAACCAATTCCCATTCCCAGCAGCCCCAAAGCACTGAGAGGAATGGCTCCTCATTTCCAAGGCTGGCATCTTGCCGGAGCCCTGGTGGCACAGTGGTTACATGTTAGGCTGCTAACTGCAAGGTCAGCAGTTTAAAGCAACCCGCCGCTTCCCAGGAGAGAGGTGGAGCTTTCGACTCCCATACACATTTAAAGCTTCAGAAACACCTAGGCCAGTTCTGCCCCATCCTATAGAGTGGCTAAGAGTCAGCACCGACTCAATGGTGAATTTGGTGGCATAGTGGGTTAAGTGCTGGGCTGCTAACCACAAGGTCAACGGTTCAATCCTACCAGCCGCTCCCTGGGAGAAAGAGAAGGCTTTCTGTTCCTGTAACAGTTCCCTTTGGAAACCAAAGGAGCAGTTCTATTCTGCTCTATGGGGTCGATATGAGTCAGAATTGACTCGCCGACAGTGAGGGGTTTGGAGGTAATGTTCATGGAAGCAGACCCCCACACAGCAGCCGGTGGGTGCCCACCACCAGTCTTCAGCTCATAGCCAAGTGCTTTAGCAGCCGCAGCAGCCAGGCTCTTCCTCCCACTGTGAAATACGCTGCACACTGGCAAGCCTGCCGGGCCATTTGGCTCACACACCCGGAGAACTGGTTCTTTTATACAGCTCCAAGTACATGTTGTTCTGGAAAATCTTCAATCACAGCATTTTCATCTCTAGCCAGAATTCAATCATTTTTCCAGTGCCATACTTTTCTACTCTTTGTAGGACCAGAGTGGGAGAACCAAGGCAGCCTTCGGAGTTTTGCTCTATTTATTATTCTAGGTAGGGATCCTAGGTTGGTCTCTTTCTTCTAAGGAGACCTTCTTTGAAGCATTAGTAACATTTCTCCTTGGGGGCAGTATCGCAGGAGAAAAAAAAAGTTGATGTGACCGAATCAGGATGGAGCCTGCATCTTTATTTATGGATATTGGACTGCCGTTGGATTGCCCTGCGAGCGCATCTGCTTCAGGAAGGGGTCTAGGCACGGTCATGTTCAGGGGCAAACTCGTGCTCTTCCGACTTGAGCAGTACAAGCTCCAGGAAGGACTGCAGAAGCTTTAGCTTCTCCTCCCAAATGGGAAAGCCACCAAAGTAAAAAGGGATCCACGAAACGTTTCAAAATGCACATCCCAGCATTAACTGTGTACCAGATACGTAGCCATGCCACAGGGAGGGTGAAAAATCCATATCTGAGTTCTCTCCTTGAAGTTCTCCTTAGCTTACTTTTTCCAAGATCAGCATCATAACATCTGTCCTACAACATAGAACTAATTGGAAAGATCTTTTTAAAGGGGTGGGTGTAGATGTGAAAATCATATTGAATTGCACTGAAGGTGAGTGACCCACACCCCCTCTGTTCCTTTAACTTACTAAATATTTCTAAAAATATACAATAGCACTGGAGGAAGGCTAATTCACAACCCGAATATGTATGATACAACCTTCTTTATGGAAAATGAAGAGGGCCGGAAGTACTTGCTGATTCAGACCAAAGAGTGCACCCTTTAGTATGGATACACCTCCATATTTAAAAGAATAGATATCATCATAACCAAGCCAATAAGCAC